CAGCCGGAGAGGCAGAGAGAAAGATCGGAACCTACGATTAGAGGTGGGAAAGCAGAGCGAGATGAGACGCAGAGAGAGGAGAGAGCAGAGATCCGCCGCGGAGCGAGAGAGGCTGAACAGAGGGAGAGAGAGGAGTAGGAGAGAGAGAGAGAGACGACGAGAGAGAGAAAGACAAGAGCAGAGAGTACGAGACGGGAACTGAGATTGGCAAGAGACGAGGGGAGTAGACGAGCCGCCGAGAGGAGACGACGAGAGAGACGGCGAGCAACGAGGTCGAAGGCAGAGGAGGACGAGTCGAGAGACGAGAGAGAGTGAAGTGAGAAGGAGAGACCCAGGAGCAGAGCAGAGAGAGATAACAGGCAAGCCATCACCGTTGAGATTAGTAATTACCTGGTGAACGAGAATCTTACATGGAATATGTTATGAAAGGCGCTGCAAATGTATTCATGATGGCTATCATATATTCTGTCTCATGTAATCAATTGAATCGTTTCAAAGTAATGTTATGATTTCTTACTTCTCAAGATATAAAAGAAAATCTAAACACACCCACACACACACACCACGCAAACATAAACACACACGCACACACACACACGCGGACTCACCACACCCACACACGCAGCAGCACTGATCTCTTCCAATGAGAGGCAAACCCTCCACAAAGACATCCCCGCAACCCGCTTTTACATATTCATCCTCCTCATCCTCTCTCCCTTCGTTGGTGGTACTACAAGCATCCCTCATCCCTGTGGCACGCGGCACTACATCCCCCAAAGCCAGTGCCAGTGTCATTGTTCCATCTATCATCTCAAAGCAGTGACACGCCGCGATATATCTCTCTCCCCGCAGAGCCTTCGGTCTCTCTCGCATCTTCATAAACAAAATCAGCAGCGCATAAAGCTTGAACTCATTCGTCTTCTCGGCACTAACTATGTAAATCCTCCTTGTCTCGTCTATCATGGTTACGCGAACGTTTGCAGAATCAACATATCAGTATAAATTCTTACCCTGAAGGTTAATTTGATATCGGCAACTTTTCCCGACAAGAATTACGGACGGACAGAAACCCAGGTACTCCCACTCCCCTCCCTCTCCCCTCCCTCCCTCCCCTCCCCTCCCTCCCCTCCCCTCCCCTCCCCTCCCCTCCCCCCCTCCCCTTCCCTCCCCCTCCCTCCCTTCCCCTCCCTCCCCTCCTCTGAATCGCGTCTTACATAGATTTTGGATCGAGATTTATGAACTGCGAGAACGGGCGGGTGAACCCGGTGAGTGAAACGAACC